TGCTAAAGCATAAGAACTTACCGAGTACTCCGAGCCAAAACAGAAACCAGTTAGTAATCATATGCAAGATCCTAGTTCATGTTAAGATGGTTAATGCAACACATACAAAGTGCAACTAAGATAGGCTCGACTAATCTACAATGACATGTGAAATGCTACAACTAGCACGTATTCAATTTGGAATTGAAATACAAATGCAGTTAGAATGATGGGCCGAGCCTGGTGCATGCAAAACGAATGAATGGATGCAAACATGCTATCATACTGTATGCTAATTGAAACATGCCCTAGATTAACCAACGAAAACTAGTAAATAAAAGAGAAGAAAGACGTGGGGTTTGGAGACATACATACACTCACGCACACTTATTACACAATTGCCCTCACTCGGAGGGTCTGAATAAATATTACACAACCAAATGAATACCGCTAAATTAATTGTTACAGAATTTCTAACTAATTAACAAATTAAATGCAGAAGAAAGGTGGCCGCAGCCCTGCCTCGGAATGTGTGAATGATGCATGCTTGACTCGTCTCACCCGGAAACTCGCTGCCATAGCACTGCTACCTCTGTTTTCACTGCCTTGCTCCTCTGAAAATTCTGAAAGTCTCCTGACCCCTTTTGAATCATCCTCTGAGTGCTCTGGGATGTCATCGGCCAGAATTAAAGTTCACCGGCCATGGTAATGGGATTATCAACCAACTTTTGTACCATCGAGCTGCCACTGATGGTCGGTCGACACTGTAGGTGGCCGGTCGGCCATTGCTTCCTGCAGAACCCTACAGTTGACAGCAGCAGAGGGCAAGCAGTGTATGGCATGGAATTTTCAAGCAAATGTGAGCATGACCACACTCCCTATCATGCAATGGACTCAAGGGAGCATGGCCCTCGACCCTCGGGCCATCAACTACGCAATTCAAGGCATGATGGCCTAAGAAGCCAAGTTAGCAACTTAATGTAGATGCATGCAACAAACAAATGAGTGCTAACACCCTATCATGTTCAGATCAAGGGTATTGGCGACCAAGGGTTGAGACGTGTTTCGTCACTTCGGGTACGAACACACCTCTCCCCTCATGCTTGGTTTGACACCCCAAACTAAGCGATGCAATGCATGTATGCCATATACAATGCAAATTGATGCAACTCATGCAAGGCTACACTAATGCAATATGAACATGTCATGCATACAACAAGACTATATAATGCAATTTAGCTAAGTAACGTGCAAACATGCGAACATGATGCAATATAAGCATGCAACCAATGCAATGCAACATGTCAAACATGCAAAGTGTGCAAGGATGGGCTCATACTGAAATGGGAGGCCTCAGCCACACCCTAAAACAGTGGCCAAAAGAGTCAAAAATGGCACAACTTATGCATGCAAGCATACACACACCAAGGCCTATCACCTAAGCATGAAAGGGGATAACTCTAAGCATACTTAAGGGCAATATGTTTGAACATTAAACACTCATGTTAAACTCTGAAAAGTATGCAAAAGATGACACCAAGATATGCTAGGGAATGGATGCAAAATAGAAGGCATTCAAGGCCACAAAAGAGAGCATTGCTCAACACCGACCCCAAGCAAACATGGCATGAGCTAAGCAACCCAAAACAGAGTTTTTATGCATCAAAATATGCCCCAAAACCCACTGATATGGCAACCCAAATGACTTAAGCAAAGAGGCATGCACACAAGTCCAAACATGGAGCATAAGACCACAACTCTTCAAGGCATTAAAAGGGTAACAAATGCAAGCATGTAGGCATAAAACATGAACTGAAATGGCATGAAAAATGATTCCAAATCACTGAAATAGACCAAATGAGGCATGCTAACAACTCACACACCCGAAGCCAACAAGTTAGAATACAAAGAGGCTATATAAAGCATGGCAAGCATGGCTCCAAAGACTCACGATAGACCTTAAACATGTTAAAACATGACCAAAAACTTCACAAAGCTAAGCCAAAGCATGCAAACATGATGGTCCAAAGTCAAGATGTATTTCTAGGCAAAATGGAGGAATACAAGGCAAGTGTATTATGCATGCAAGAAGTCAAGAAACCGACATGGGACAGAGGAAAAACATGCTAAATAAACATCAAATAACCTCTGAAATGAAGCCAAACAAAGCTAGGCATACATGCTACCCTTATGAGCTGAAAATACAAACAAAAGAGAGACAAAGGGAGAGGGGTGTCCCTCCCCTATGCAAGACCTCAAACCCCCTTCTTCACCATTGAAAATCCACTGGATTTCAGTGGTGAGAAGGCCAATACACCAAAGTAACCAAAGCTTAACAATGGAAGCACAAAAAGGGCCAAACAAGGCCTTAGAGGGGGAGGTCGACCCCCAACACCAAAAAAACCTTAATGAAGTATCTTAAGCATGCAAATACAAGAATTTTTTTAGTTATACACAAAGTCTAAATCAGTAAGCAAGATAGGTTAAAGACTAGTGCAAGATTGGAAAAAATAAAGCAAAAAGTGTTACCCTTGAAGAACACTTCAAGAACAGCAAGCTCAGCCTCTTCCTTATGATCAAAACCACATCAAAACTTCAAGAACAAACCCTCAAGACCTCCCAAGTCGAAGTATGGTGTAATGGTGTGTGTTTTAGTGCAAAAATAAGAACAAATCAACCTTTTAGGCCCTTAAACACACACAAAATGAAGAGAGAGAGGGAGATATAGAGAGAGAAGGTGTATATATCATAATATATATGTATTTTGCTCTGGTTTTGCTGAACCCAACAAAGGAGAGGGTTGGGGCTCTTGTATAGACAATGGAAAAGGCTAAGCTTCCAAAGGAAGCTAACAAAGGGGTCAAGGCTTCCTAAAGAAGCCAAGGCAAAGGGGCTAAGGCTTCCTTAGGAAGCTAGGATAGGTGTCCAAGCTTCTTGAGGAAGCTAAGACAAAGGTCCAAGCTTCCTCAAGAAGCTAGACCAAAAAGGTGCAAAAGGGAAAAAACAGCCACAGATGTGCACGAGGGCAGGGTTTGTGCATTCCAGCTGGCGCAACTGGCATGCACCATGCCTGAAAAAGGCAAAAAGGTGGTACCGGCCAGAAAAGGAGGCCATCAGCCAAACAGATGGTCGGCCGACCACACAAAATGCCGACCGGCCAATGGTATATTTCACCAATGGCCGGTAGCAAAAAGACACGGCCGGTGGCCGCAATCCAGGGCCAGTGGGTGTCAGGTGTAGCTAACAAGCTACTCTCTACCCTCGGGTACAAAAACACACAAGTCCTTGGTGTAAAACCAAGCACAGAACAAACAAGTCGAGAGATCCTGAGGCAAGACGTGTAGCCAAAACCTCCGGGAACTCGAAACAAACACGGACATAGATGATCACCGAGTGTACAAGCGGTGACGTCCAAGTCTTGAGGACGGTCAAAAATGGGGTGTCTACATAGAGTCATGCGTATTTTTTTTTTTATTCAAAGGAAATGTTACAGAAGAAGGAAAGAAAACACAGCAAACAACAAACCAAAATAGGGCTAAACTAGCTTAAGCCCTTTCACAAGAGAGACCAACCATGTCTGCAACAAGCAAACTAACAAGATCATTAGGTGGGTCTTCTAACACTACAAGGTGTTCTCTATGATGCACTCTCATATTAGCAAGACTATCTGCACATTGGTTGCCTTCACGGGGTATGTGGCTAACAACACAGTTGCATCTGTGCATGAGGAATTTGATATCCTCCAAGAGGGCTCGGTGAGGATAATTGATGGTTGTGGGGTTGTTGATGTTGAACACCATTGTTGCTACATCAGATTCAATCAAGACATCACGCAAGCTTTTCTCGAAGATAATGGTGAGGCCTCGATAAATTCCCTAGAGCTCAGTTTCTTCGCTGGATGCTAACTCTAATTTTCCATGATAGCCAAAAATCCAAGCTCCCTTAGCATCTCTGAGCAAGCCACCATACCCAGCAAGTCCAAGATTGCCTTTGGAGCAGCCATCCGTATTAAGCTTGAGTTGACCTGCACAAGGAGGACACCAATCAGTCCAAATATGTAATGAGTTACCTGTGAACAGGTCAGTGTGGAAAGCCTTGTGGATTGCTTCTGCTTCGTGTTGAATCTGTCTCACAGATTCATGAGAGGGGCATTCTTGTTGATTGAACACCATGTTGTTTCGAGCCTTCCATAATTTCCATAAGGTCACCACAAAGACAGTTCCCCAACGAATGTTGAAGCACTCTTTATTGTTGCTCTTAAGGTTATGTTGGATCCAAGTATTGAAGGCCACATTATGAAAAGAATTTCTCCAACTGTGATTGGGGAGAAAATCCCAGACTTCAGTAGCTTTTTTGCACTCTCTCAACAGATGGTTCAAATCCTCACAGTGGCTTTGACAATTCGGGCAAGTATCATCATTGGTGAAGCCTCAAATCTTTCTTTGATGATTAGTGACCACCTTATTATGCAGTAGCAGCCAAATGAAACCCTTTAATTTTTGGGGGATCTTTAATTTCCAGATCTAGTTCCAGGTAGCTAATTGATGTTCTTGTGCTGAAGCTAGATTTGAGATCAAGAGATAGGCAGCCCTAACAGAGAAGTCACCATTGGAGGAGCCAATCCAGTGGGGGTTGTCACCTACTTCAACAAAAACATGGAGATGAACCTGGTGAATGAGGTGCTGCATAGTAGAAGGGAGGATATTGTTAACCCTGTTCAAGTCCCAATCTCCTTCCTCATTAATGATATCAGCAACTTTAACATCTTCTTGAGTATGTGGTTCAGGAAAAATAGAATCAAGAGGCCCATCCCCACACCACCAATCTTTCCAAAATGAAATGTTTTTGTCATTACCAACAGTCCATTTGGTACCCTTTGCAAGAATATTCCTAATCCTCATAATGCTCCTCCAAATTTGTGATGCCTTTTTATTGGTAGGCCAGTTTGAAAATGAGTGCTTGTTTAAATATTTGCCTCTGAGAACCTTGGTCCAAATAGCATCAATTTCAGAATTTATCTTCTAACCCAATTTTGTCAATAATGCAAGATTTTGGTCTTCAGCCCTTCTAAGACCCAGAGCTCCTTCTTGTTTAACTTTACAGACTTGTTTCCAATTCACCAAATGGACTTTCTTCCTTCTTTCAAGATCACCCCATAAGAAATTTCTGTTAAGCTTATCAATTTGTTTACAAATGCTTTGGGGGAGTTTAGAAATTTGCATGATATAAGAAGGTATAGAAGATGAAACAGACTGGATCACAGTAGTCCTACCTGCGAGGGATAAAGCTTTAGCTTTCCAAGAGGACAGCTTTTTTTGGATTTTCTCAATGGTTCCATTATAAATATTTCTGCTAATCCTACTGTGAATAAGGGGAACACCAAGATATCTACCAAGATCTTAAGTGAGACTTATACCACAAAGTAAACTCAACTCCTTAGCTAAATTCTTGCGGATGTTAGGGGAGATGAACATTTTTGACTTTTGCAGGTTGATTTTCTGCCCAGAAATGCAAAAGAATTCATTCATGGCTTCCATGATTGTATCACAATTAGACTGGTCAGCTTTAGCAAAGAGAAGGAGGTCATCTGTAAAAAATAAATGTGAGATGGGTGGGCTATGGGTTGAGGCTTTCGGCCTCTTCCATTTTCCAGCTTCCACCTGCACTCTAATCATATTGGACAGTCTCTCCATGCACAGCACAAATAAATAAGGTAAAAGAGGGTCACCTTGCCTCAAGTCCCTTCCAGGGTTGAAATTATCCATGGTTTCACCATTCCATAAGATAGAAAAGTTCACAGAAGAAACACAAGACATAATGAGATCTATCCAATGTTGGTTAAGATTGAATTCTTCAAGAGTGGCTTTCAAAAAAGTCCAAGATATTCTATCATAAGCCTTTTCAAGGTCAATCTTAATAATAAGACCACCATGTGTAGACACCTCATTTTTGACCGTCCTCAAGACTTGGACGTCATCGTTTGAACACTCAATGATCATCCATGTTCGTGTTCGTTTTGAGTTCTCGGAGGTCTCGGTCGCGCGCCTTGCCTCAAGATCTCTCAACTTGACTGTTTGGTGCTTGGTTGTGGACCAAACACTTGTGTTATTGCTTCTAAGGGAAGAGGGTGGCTTGTTTGCCATCCCCTCAACCCATCAGCCAAGGCTTGAGGCAATCGGCCCTTTTTTCTTGCCATCAGCCAAAAGTGTTGCCCGATCGGCACTTTATTTGGTCGGTCGGCCCTTATGTTGGTCAATCGGCCATATTTTGTGGCCGAACCCTATTCATCTGCTTTATGCAGATATTTAGTGCCAGTTGGCACAGCTGGCATCCATAATTACCCCCCTTCATACACGTGTATGGAGGGATTTGTCCTTTGCTTAGCTTCTCCAAGAAGCTTTGCAAATTGGATTTCTATAAGAGGAGAGGCCCTCCTCCCTTCTCAGAGGTTCTGAAATTTAGGGTTAGAATAGTTGTATCTCTCTATCTCTATATCTCCCCCTCTTTACACTTTTGTGTGTGTTTTTGTGACCTAAAGTGTGATTTTGTCTTACTATTGCACACAAACACCTAGCACTACACCATCCTTGGCTGCTGAGGCATTAGGGAGTTGGTGTTAGGGTTCTTGAGCTATTTTTGATCAAAGAAAGGTGTTGGTCTTGTGTTCTTGAAGGTGTTCTTCAAGGGTGAGCATTCTTGCTTTAGATACCCCTTTCTTGCTTAAGCTTTTAGCCTATTTTGCATGTTGTTTTGAGCTTAACTTATAACTGATAAAAGTTCTATTTTTACATGCTCTTGATCTTTGTTTAAGGTCTCTTTTTGGTTTGGGGTTGTTTACCCCCTCCAAAGCCTTATTAGGCCTTGTTTTAAGCCATCCCTTTTGGCCCCTGTTCTTAGCTTTGCATGAAGCTAGAGGATTTTCAGTGGTGGAAAGGTAGTTTTGAGGTCTTAAATAGGAGAGGGTCATCCCCTCTCCTTGTTATCTTGAATGCTTGCATAAATGGCTTATGTAGATAGCATGTGTGCTTAGCTTGTTTTGTCTTTATTTCAGCATGTATTAGGCTTTGTTTTTCCAAAATACACCTCTGATTTGAGTTGGTTTAGTTGGCTCATACATGCTTCATGTACTTGCTTTGCAATCCCCTCATTTGCCTTAACATGTATCTAGCATTTAGACTACCATGCTTGCATGTTTTGGCTCAACTCCATGAATCTTTTAGCCTTATTTTACCATGCTAAAGCTTTGTTTTTCATTATTTTGGTCATGCTTGCATTGGTTTGTATAGCTACCATGTAACCTAGCTTGTTAGCTTTGAGTATTGAGTCCTTTAGCATGCATTACTTGGCTCATTTCAGTGATTTGGCATCACTTGTTATGTTATTTCAGTCCATATAGTATGCTCATATGCTTACACTTATCACTCATTTAATGCTTTAAAGGGTTTGTGTTTTATGCTTCTAATTGGATCATTGTGTATGCTTCCAAGCTTAGGTCATTTGGATGCCATCTAAGTGGGTTTTTGGTCTTGTTTGGACCTGTCTTGGGACTATTTTAGGTCCCCTTGGCCCTTTGGGGCTTGCTTTGTGTGGCCGTGGTTTGAGTCCCTTGGCTAGCCTCAAGCTTTGGGCTTTCTTGCGTGCTTTACTTCTGTAGTTTGATTGGTTTGGTACCTTTCCATGCATGATTTCAGAGCTTAACATGTTTGTTACATGTCTAAATTTGTCTCTTTTAAGTGTGCTTAAGAGTTGTCCTTTCATGCCTTAGTCTTTAGGCCAATTAGCATGCATGTTTGTATATGTATTTCATGCCTTTGTTTCATCACTTTGGCCACTGATTTTGGCATGGCTGAGGTCTACCCATGTTAGTTTAAGTCCATCTTGGCATGTTGTCGCATGCTTGCTTCATTTTGCATGTTGTTGCATGCTATGCATGCTTACATATTTAGGTTGTATGCCTATTGCATTCTAGTTACATTGTATGATATTGTTGCATGTTGTTACATGTTAGTCCCATTGCATCATGCTTGTATGTTTGCATTGCATTATGTGTTCATTCCCTTGCCTCTTGATCAAGCATGATAGAGGTTGGGGCCCCTTTATGTGTTTTGTGCATTTCATTTGATATTAAATTACACGCTTGGCTCTTTTGGCCATCATGCATTGAAATACGTGATTGATGGTCCGAGGGTCGAGGACTATACTCCCTTGAGTTCATAACATGATAGGGAGGGTGGTCGGGCAAACATTGTCTTGTAAATGTATTGCCATGCTCTGTCTGTCCTCTGCTGCAGCAAAATAGCATTCTGCAGGAAAAAATGGTCGATCGACCATTTTCAGTGCCGATCGGCTAACAATGCCTGGCCGAGATCCTCATTTCTGGTCGATGACCCATTTTCCTTGGCCGATGATCCTATATTCTAGCCTATGGCCCCTCAGCATGTCCCCAAGGTAGTTCAGAAGTGTCACAGAAGTTGGCACAGTTTTCAGAGGTGCAGAGCAATGCAGAAAGAGGCAACATGTAGCATGGCAACGGATTTCCGAGCGAAGCCGATCGAGCATGCATTTGTCCTTCTTCCCGAGGCTACTTTACTGTTTTCATAGCTTAATTGATTTGTTTAAGTTAGTTAAGTGTTGTGTAATAATTAATTAGCTTGTTAGTTAGTTAATTAGTTAATTTGTATTATTCTTTCGGTCCCTCCGTCGAGAGGGCACAATTATGTAATAAGCATGCATGTGTGTGATGCATGTCTTCCAACCCCACTTCTTTGTCCTTTTTACTTAACCGCTTACGATGGTTAGTTTTAGGGCATATTTCATTTATCATATCTTATGCTCGCATGCGTGCATCCATTCATCTGTATTGCATGCATTGGGCTCGGCGCATTATACTAACTGCATCGTATTTCAATTCCAAGTTGAATACATGTATTGAATTGTCGCATCCCATATGCCATCTTAGAATAGCCGAGCCTATTTCTAGTTACATCTTTGCATGTGTTTCATTAGCCATCTTAACATGAATTAGGATCATGCATTCATTACTAACTAGTTCTTTATTTTGGCTCGGAGTACACCATGAGTGTTTATGCTTTAGCATCCTGCATGTGTGTTAATGTTGCCATGAAAGCATGCTTGCCATGAGGCTAACCGCTTATGTGATATAACTGCCTGAATGCCTGTGGGTGAAGGTTGGATTACTTGAATTGGAACAATTCATTGAAATCTGTGTTTTAGCCTACTTGCGAGTAGCAAACTTCAAACCATTTCCAAACAAACGGATATGCGATGCTTTGTTCCAAATTAGGCGATCTAGTCTATACTTGTGTGTTGTGCGCATCACATAGTAATCGTAGCTAATAACTGGTATAAGAACACATGTGTTTTCAAAAACGAGATATCATGCTTACTACAGGCCGATCTTTGATCGGGCGAGCGGGGGTGCTCATAGATGACCTTCCCCAATCGTACCCAAGTTCCTGAGCCGAGGCAACTTTGGTGATGACGGACACGTGGCCTTAGACAACGAGTCAAGGTTTCCTAAATTCTCCTAAATTAAATATTTAGGTGGCGACTCTGTATCTGGCAAAACAGTCCATGTTTGGCACTTCTTTCTTTACAAAAATTAGTTTTTCAAAAATAATTTGCCGGATTTGGACTCTTTGGTGATTTATCAATCTCACATCGCACATTGTGAGATCAGATTAAGAACCGTGACATTTGAGTTCGAACTGTAGGCATGAGGCCCAAGGGCGCGTCTACACCATGCTTACCTTTTTTTTTTCTAAGAGTATGGATCAGTTCTTGGGTAATGATAATGTTGTCATGGGTGGATCGACCAGGAATGAAACTGCTTTGGGTAGGACCAACAAGATCCTGGAGAAGAGGCCTAATACGGTTCACTAAAATTTTTGATAAAATTTTATAAGAAACATTACATAGGCTAATAGGGCGAAATTGCTTAATATTCTCAGGAATTACAGTTTTGGGGAAAAGGGCAATAAGAGTTTGATTCACTACAGGGGGTATAGATTTGGATTGGAAGCAATTCTTAATAAAATCACAGACATTGACCTCAATTACATCCCAAAATTTATGATAGAAGATAGCTTGAAAACCGTCACGCCCAGGGGCTTTGAAAGCACTAATGATCTTGACAGCCTTCCAAATTTCCTCAGTAGAAATGTTTCTCAGCAAAAGATTATTATCATCATGCGAAATTTTATGAGTGGTAATATTGCACCAATGGTCAAGATTACTAACAGGCTCAGAATTGAAAAGGGAAATGAAGTAGTTTTGAATATGATTTTTAACTAATAAGGGGTTGTTAATCCACTCACCATGCTCATCTTTAAGGGCATCAATTCTCAACTTCTTACGTCTATTAATAGCAGAAGTATGAAAAAACTTAGTGATTCTCTCGCCTTGAGTTATCCAATTGGCTCTAGATTTTTGAAACCAAAGAACTTCTTCTTGAAACAGAGTTTTGTTATATTGAACAATGAGGTCCTTTTCAAGTCGAAAAAGGTTATGAGAAAAATAAGAGAAAGAAATTTGAGTTTTTTGAATTCCTTCAATACGAGATAAAAGCTATCTTTTCTTTTAAAAATGTTACCAAAAACCACCTTATTCCAAGTAAGGGAATTAGAGGCAGCAGAAAACAAGTTATCTTAGATAAAAGATAAATGATTCCAAGAAGATTTAACAATATCTTTATAGGTAGGATGCGAAAGCCAACCTGCTTCAAAACGAAAAGGGCGATTAGTAGGAGAGAGTTTGGTTATACCTTCAGTATGGACCATAATAGGTGAATGATCCGAATAAGTGCGAGGGAGATTGCAGACTGCTCCTTTAGGGAATACAGTTCTCCATTCAGCATTGCAGAGAGCTCGATCTAGTCTTTCCATAGTATTAGACATGCCCTGCCTATTGTTAGACCAAGTGAATTTCAGTCCTGAGCAACCAATGTCCATAAGACCACAGCGGTTAACATTATCAGAAAACTTTTTGCATCGGTAGTTCTGGTTATTCTGGGAATAGCTTCTTCTTTCAGTTTGCCCCATGATATCATTGAAATCTCCTGCAATTTGACAAAAAGAATAGTTTGATGGAACCTCTACTCGAAGTCTCTGCTCCAACCTCAGCTATTGCACACCCAATCGACAACCAAACAGACCGATCACTAGAAGAAAAAGATCATCTGGTGCGAAGCACCAAGAAGATAAAAAATTTGTCCGAAAGCACTGTGGATCAAGTTATGAATGACTCGATCGAGGCTCCAATAAGGAATCAAGTTTCAGTCGATCAAGGTATGAATGACTCGACTCAAAATATGCTAGAGGAATAACCCAAGCAATCTTTCAAACAAGTTCTCACTTCCTCAAAGACCAATGAGAAAGCTTTCGACATCGATCTGGAGAGGCTGTCGGATGAGGACCTTCTCACTGATAAGGAGGATAACGAGGATATGGAGGAAGCTGATCCTTCTCAGATTGCTGGTCTAGGGCCTCATATCCCCAAAATCAAACTTCCCTCGCGTCTTCTTAAGCACATTCGCAAGCCATCGAAGGATTGCCTGATAGCCAGATTGCTTGGGAAAATGCTTGGATACAAATTTCTAGTCTCTAAACTCATTAAGGTTTGGGGATTACAAGGGGATTTTGAAGCAACTAATCTGGGATTGGGATTCTTCTTAATCAAATTTGAAATGCAATCTGATTGTAGCAGAGTGTACACAAAAGGCCCTTGGATTATAATGGACCACTATTTAACGGTCAGAAGATGGGAGCCTGACTTCAAACCAGCTGAGGCGGGAGAAGTGCCCACGGCTTTATGGGTCCGATTTCCATAACTTCCCATTGAATACTATAACGAGAAAGTACTCTTCCACATAGCTAAAGCCATTAGAAAACCTCTCAAGATTGATCTAAATACTGCCATGTCTGCTAGGAGAAGATATGCCCGTGTCTGTATGGAAGTGGATCTCACTAAGCCATTAATTTCGAGATTTGCTATAGGTAAATATACATATGTAGTGGAATATGAGCATTTACATTATTTTTGCTTTCACTGTGGCAGAGTTGGACACCGGAAAGAATATTGTAGCAGTAAGCCGGTGCCGGAGTCGGTGAAAGTGAATGCAGAAGTCATAGCCAACGGTAATGATCGTGGGTCCAATCCAGTTCCAACGACTAGCTCCTCAGGGAAACAAATTGCCTCGAGCTCAGATCAATCTAAAGAGTTTGGGCCTTGGATGTTAGTGAACAGGAGGAACAATCGACCCAATCTCACTGGTAGGCAGCCTGGACCTAATTCTGCTAGTGCTAGAAGATCTACTAATAGGTTTGGGCCTCTTGCTACGAATGGAAACAAGGAAGAAACCACAGCTCGAACCAAGCATAAAAACCCAATGGGCCCTAATTTGGAAGGTGAATATGGAAAAGAATCACCTAGTGAGGTAGGTAATCCTAATGCAACACAGAGAATCCCCTCTGAAAGACAATACGATGGAAGACAACTCAATAAAGACAAGACCCCAATTGATGCAGCACAAGCTAGACCTGAGCAAACTACCGCTAGCCCCATCCCTAACCTAGCGAAAGACACAAGTGACGACTCTGCTATTATAATGGCAGATACCTATCCACCCAACCCTTCTCTATCACCTTTCAACCCCGCCCCAGCCCAGGTTCCAGAGTTCATCTCTCCCTCACCCTCCACTACAAATCCTCAACCCTCCTCCGTTAATCTTGAGATAAAGCAGAAGCCACCTGATAGGAACAATGAGCACCTTCAGCACCACCGAGGATCTGGAGACACCTATAGCTCAAACTACCTGGATGAGACACAGCTCGGTGGGATCATACCTCGAACCAGAGAGCGAAACCATTCACCTAGTAAACGTAGAATGGTGGATCGAAGAGATAAGGCTGAACATCGAGTCCAAGTGGGAGAGCGTGGGTGGAAGACCACTGCAGGCAACACAGATGGCAGCCCTAAGGCCATCAGAGCTATCCAAAAAGATTGTGCGTGATTATATTGGCCTGCCTAGCTCAGACCCATTACCTAATTTCCCCAATCGTTCATCCATGAATGTTACCCATTCCGCTCGTATTGGGCTCACTACAATTCAGGACTCTCAAATTGTCACGGTTCCAAATCTGAACCAAAGAGTCCAAATCTGGCAAATCGTTTCGAGAAAACAGATTTTGAAAGAAGTGCCAAACATGGACTGCTTTGCCAGATACCGAGTCGCCACCTAAATGTTTTATTTTGGGAAAATTTAGAAAACCCTGACTCGTTTGCCTAAGGCCACGTGTCCGTCATCACCAAAGTTGCCTCGGCTCGGGAACTTGGGTACGATTGGGGAAGGTCACTTCGTGAGCACCCCCGCTCGCCCGATCAAAGATCGGCCTCTACTAATCATGATATCTATTTTTGATAACAATATGCGTTCTTATTTCGGTTATTAGCCTAGATTTACTATGTGATGCGCACAGCATATAAGTATAGACTGGATCGCCTGAATTGAAACAAAACATTTCATGTTTGTTTATTTGAAAATGGTTTGATGGTGCTACCCGCAAGTAGACTAAGACGTGGATTTGCCACCCTCGGGTGGGCTTAGAAAACATGATTTTGCCACTATCTAGTGGGCTTAAAACTCGCATTTAATGAATTGTTCCAATCCAAATAACCCAACCTTCACCCACAGGCATTCAAGCAGTTATATCACATAAGCACATAGCCTCATGGTAAGCATGCTATCATGGCAGTCACTCACACGCATGCAAGGATGCTAAAGCATAAAACTTACCGAGTACTCCAAGCCAAAACAGAAGCTAATTAGAAATCCATGCATGATCCTATTTATACAGAAATGCCTAATGCAACACATGCAAAAATGCAACTATAGAAAGCTTGGCTATTCTAAACATGGCATATGATATGCTACAGCTAATATGTATTCAACTTGGAATTGAAAATACAATGCAGTTAGTATAATGCGCCGAGCCCGGTGCATGCAAAACAGATGGATGAATGCAAACATGCTGTCATACTGTATGCTAATTGAAACATGCCCTAATCTAACCATCATAAGCGGGTAAATAAAAGGGAGAAAGACGTGGGGTTGAAAGACATACATCACACACACGCACACTTATTACAGTTGTGCCCTCGCGCAGAGGGTCCGAATAAATAATATACAATCCCAAATGAATAATTACAGTCCAAATATGTACAAAACCCTAATTAATTAACAAATTAAATTAGGAAAGCAATAAATTGGCATGCAAGCTGGGGACTGCCTCAACTCTGCTCCGAATGATGAATGATGCATGCTCGGTTGCCTTGTGTGGAGAATCCCTCGCGATGTCCCGATTTGCCTCTGTTTGCAATTGTTCTTGGAATGCATGTCAAGCTCCGGAAGGCTGCCGATTTCTGATTTGCTGCAACAGAGAGCAACAAAGGAGCATGGCAAAGTATTTTCACATATGTATGCATGACTACTCTTCAGGGAGTGTAGTCCTCGATCCTCATGCACGCAAACCGAGGACCAAGCCTAAGGCATCAAATGCCACTCTACCCAAAGCATGGCAAGGCATGGAACATGATATGCAAACATGTGAATTTCAGCGCTGAAAGATGCTACAAAACAGCCCCGAAACATGGAAACATAGCACCCGATGCATCGAATGAACTCCGAAATTCGAAACTAGGCACATGGAATGACTTACAGCTATACAAAGCATGCATTATTTGATCATGAAGCATGAAGACAGATGCAAGACAGTCCCAAAACATGCATATTTCCAATTTATAACAAGTCCCAAAAATGAATGCAAATAGGGCTAATCTATCATGCAAAAATGCCCCAAAAGAGAGATTAAACACAAAGGGACAGCATCTGGCTCCAAATGGAAAAGATCCCTTTAACAAAGTTGAAGAGGGGCTCAAAATATGTCACTTTACAGTTTATATCATGCCACGAAAATAATCACAAATAAGGCCAAACTATCATGCAAGAAAAGGCCTAAAAGAGGGGTAAAGAGACAAGTGGCAGCTTCTGTTCTCAAACAGAGGAGAGCCCTTCAACAATGTTGAAGAGGGGCTCAAAAAAAGATATTTAACAGTTTATGGCAAGGTCCAAAACAGCTCACAAATAGGCCAAAAATACTATGCAAAAATTGGCCTAAAAGAGAGATAAAGAAGCAAGTGATAGCAGGAGGCCTCAAACAGAGGAGAGCCCTTCAAAAATGTTGAAGAGGGGCTCAAAAAAAGATATTTCACAATTTATGGAAAAGTCAAAAACAGCTCACAAATAGGCCTAAAATACTATGCAAAAATAAGGCCTAAAGGAGAGTTTAAACACAAAGGGTGAGGAGGAGACCTTAAACAGGGAAACACCCTTAATCAAACATGGAGATGAGCATAAAATATGACTATTTACAGTTCGGGTCGGAGCCCAAAAATGCAAGCAACAAAGGCTAAAATAGCATGCAAAATAAGACAAGAAAGAGGGAAAATGGGACTCACCCTTGTAGAACCAAGATTCAACAGCTTTTGGACTAGGTTTGGGAGCTCTTAACCTCTGGAAAACAGCCTCAAGGTATTGGAATGGATGTTGGAGGTGTGGTGCTATGAGTTGTAGTGTAAAGGGTGCAAGAACCTTAGGGTTTGAAGGGTTTGGAAGAGAGGGAGAGGGAGAGTTGTATGCAAGGCTTAAAATAAATTTTGTAACCCCTAAAATGCAGCTGAGGGTGCTGGTTTTATAGGGAAAGGAGTGGAGGAAAGGGGGGAAAAATGGGGGGGAAAACCAATTCAAATTTCCCCCCAAAAGGAAAGACCCTCGGGTATAGGGTCTGGAGGAAAACAAATTGCACACTTGGAACACACATGGGGAGGGGATCATGGCTGGCCATCTTAAAAGGGCCAAAATGGTCATCCAACCAGGTAGGTGGTCGGCCTGCCACCTTTTCTAGTCGGCCTGCTACTTTTCAGGACAAAAAATGGGTCTGCCGGAAAGAAAGGTGGTCGGCCAGTGGTTGGGAAGTCCAATGGT